GACCCAGACCTCCAGGCTGCTGGCTCTTGCCGTGAGCTTTTGGCTCTTGCCGTGAGCTTTTGGCTCTTGCCGTGAGCTTTTGGCTCTTGCCGTGAACTTTTGGCTCTTGCCGTGAGCTTTTGGCTCTTGCCGTGAGCTTTTGGCTCTTGCCGTGAGCTTTTGGCTTTCGCCGTGACAGTTGTGGGCTTCCGTAATATTTTCCCTTTTGTCAATGTCAAGTGATAGTTTTATTGATTTCTGACAAATGCACTTCAATCTGGTAGAGAAAATAACCAAATTTTTGCCAAAAAGTTGAACATAAATTTCACCTGAAAGTGAAGACAGAGTTCGTCGTAGGCCACCCAAGCACAAAAGACTTCTCGGCAGACTTTGTTGACTCACAAACTTCTTCAGTACAATTGGTCAACCACAGTTCACTGACACGAATACGATGCTTGAGTTTGTATGTTGCAGCTGATCTGTAGTAATGGCATAAGGCAAATACTCATTGTGAATAATAAAGCATGTAGTGCTTTCGAATTTATTCAAAATTATTGAAGGATTTCAATTCTGTTCTGCCATTGATTCGTCTTGCACAGCAACAGAACAATAAAATTGATTTAGTGATCCAATAATAGTCGTTAGTAAAAATGAGGGGAAGTATTTTTGGGGCGGAAAAACAGAGTGTGATAGTGATGGTGCAATTCGAATTAATTTTCATTTAAAGGCAATCGAATATTGTAAAGTGCACTGTAATTACAACTTGCTCCTTATATACATGTTAGATTATCTACATAGCCCAAGCAAATTCACTATAGGATAATGAAACCTAGCCCAATAAGACAAACAGAAACAAGATACTCACTTGGATTTTGCAACTAGAAGTAAATCACTAAAAAGAAAAAGGTGGCGCTCTTGTGTAGACACTCCCTAGGATACAATACAGACTGATTAGTCACAGCATTTGAGCACGCACGATCACCATGGCAACTTACAACAGTGACTTGAGCACATCCTTCTTGTACGAAATGCCTCGATGGAAGGGGGAAAATCGATGTAGCATCAGTAAAAGCCTTCACCTTTAAGCTTCCTCCATCATGTTGACTCCTAAAGTAGAAACGTAATTAACCTTTACCTAAACGAGCAGGGTGTTGAAATCAAGTCTCGAAAATTTAATTTAATTCAAAAGCAGTCTACAAGAAGGATCACATAAAAATAAGAATTGAAAATTCCATCTAGTTTGTAACGAAATTATGATATTTTAAACATTTATAAAAATACAGAGAATGTATATGTGTAGCTGGACAGTTTGGCTGCACACCATACTGCATGTCTTTGTAATTTTGGCAGGGTTTAAATGCTCATAACATTGTTTCTACAAGGCCAAACATCCTGAAGCTTGGTCAACCAGCTTATGGTATGTTGCTCTTTCTTTTGATGGGATTGTGATTTTTGAAATATTTATTGAATTGGTTTTTCAAAGTTGGACCTAATACCTTACCTGTTTTGGTAAATGCTAATTGTAATATTCGTTATGATCTTAATTTGACTTGTTCACTCTGGCTTAGTTTTTAAGAGACATTAATAACAGCTAACCGAGTGCGAGGTCCGTACCATAAGTTATGGACCGCAAATTGACCAATCATAGGGCGTGATTATCATAGGTCATGAGGACGAGAGAACTAAACGTCCAACTAGTCGGTCGAATAAACATTTCGCTACTACTAAGCTACAAATAGACTTGTTTCAAATTCCATATTACCGCTGTGTTCCTTGATTACAGACTCATTTGTAAAGGGCTGGCCTCGTATTAGTGTTTAAATATTCACAAATACCAACGGTAAAGTAAAGAATGCACAACCTCAACAATACAAACACTTTGAAACTCGACGGACCTTGAATGTAACACGTGAATATTGTGCACAAATTCGAGGCTAAAGCATTGAAAATAGTCTATTTGTAGTCTAGTAGTAGTTTATCCAATCAGAACCATGTATTGATGATTGACCAATAGTTGGATATTGACTGATATTCGTTTTTCGGGGTTTTTAATGCCGAATGGACGTTGACAAGACTTACCCTCTTACTGCAAGATGTGGTTTTGGTACTAGTGCTGCTTTCAGCACGGCAGACGGTGCTGATCTCCTTCTGGAAGCGTTCGTACGATATCGCTGAAACAAAACAACGCGTACAAATGTTGAACACCAATTTAATGAGATTACGATAATTCCTATTGCATGGTTTTGAAAAAAAAGGTGTGCTAATCATATTATCCAATTAATTATACAGCTTATCATTAATCCCATATAGGTAACTGTCCAATTATTTTCTTAATTGGACAGGTCTTGTTGATATGGGATTCATTAGGCAGCTATGTAATTAATAGGTAATGGGATTTCATGCTCCCCAATCAAGAAATAATTAGACTCGAAAAATTCCTCTGACTGCCAAATTGGACTCGGCCTACGGCCCAATTTTGGCAGTCCTCGGAATTTTCCTCGTCCAATTATTTCTTAATTGGACAGCATGGAGTCCTATTACATATACTAACCAGAAGCCAAAATTAGACAGTTGGAAATTTGCTTGAAGGAATTTAAAAACCCAGTTACAGCTCGGTGTCTGGGTCGCGTCGCTTTGAACTATACATAACATTTTAATTGAATTCTGACTTGTTTCCCGTCTTTGCTATTTCGCTATATTTGGAGAATAAGTAAAGTTATTTAGTCATTGGATGTCGAGCATTCTTTTAAGAATGCATTATTTGGAAGGAATTGCCCTACTATGACGTCACTGTTTGTCTATAAGCGGGACAAAATGGTAAGGGACGAAAGTAATTTGAACTAATTTTACTGTTCAGCTGAATTCGTAGCTCTAATGTATCTGGTTTTCAAGCATTATATATACCGGTGCTTATCCTACATTAGTATACTTTTAAACTTGAATATAGAGTTTCTCGTGCTGTGATTGGCCGAGCAACCGAGACGATAATCACTGCTAGAATAGCAAGGTTTTCCAAAGGTTGCCAGATCGGAAGTAATACTAAAACCTTTTTTTCTCCCGAATTTCTCCGTTTTTTCTCTGAGATTCGCGGCTCAGCAATTATTCACCAATAATCACATTATTATTTTTTAATCAATGCGGTATTTGGTGACTATTATTGTATTTCTAAATTCTAAAAAATACAATTTTCCCAAATTTTCCTCGTGTTGTTGGTGTTTTGTCCCCCTCCCCCTCCCCCTCCCCCTCCCCCTCACACGACCATGATTCTTTGCGTTAAAACAACAAATCGTTTTGTGATGTCGAGGTATTAGAGGTCAATTAAAAGTAAATATTTATTTACCGGAAGTAAATCTCCTTCGATGAGGCACAAGTTGTCATGTGGGAATTTATCTTGTACTTGGTTGATCTTCACCTGATAACAAAAACAAACAAAAAGTATAACAGTTACTTTAATCCAAAAATATTTCAAGTGACATTTCCAAAATGCGAGGCAAACGCAATATTATGACTAATTACAACCATCACAACCTCAAAATATTGAACTAATACGATGAACCCGTACGGAAGTATCGATGTTATAAAGTTAATTGTAAGAAAAACACATTCTGGTCGTTAAGATGCAACCAATTCAGTCAAGTTGATGGGAAAATAATTGGCGAAAATAATTGGTGAGGATCTCGATTCTTGCTTCTTCTTTGCTCACCAGTTCCTCGTCGATGGGCTGAGGAAGGTCCGCGTCATCGAAGGGAAAAATCAAAGTGTATGGTAGAATACTGAAGGCGAGTTGTGTCGAACAGTTTGCAGATGTAAAAAGATCAGATCTCTTCATGGCTAAAACCATATTTGGTTGATTCAACATATTGTGAAGACCACCAATTCGTACATTATTCTGATCCTGAAAGGGTTTCTTTGATGAAGAACAGTCGATCACTGAACAAAATACATGTTTTCATCGATCTCTGAGGTGATGTCTTCAGAATATTGTGCCTTATTTTATAGGTCGTCTAACAGCGACTGTAAAACGTAGTTGAAAACTGATATGCATGTCTGGCGGGTCGTCTTCACATTGGAACGAAATTGGTTCCCCTTATCACGTCTGTAGTTTGAGTCTTTGAGGTCAAAAACATGGGTTAATTTTGTTCCCTGGCTCGCTTGACTGACTTGAAACGCTTGACAAGTGTGTCGAAAAATGAGAAAAATAACTTCTCCATACTATTATTAGCCACGAAGTTGATGTTAGAAACTCATCTAACGAAACCGATTACAGGCAAAACAATTAGCAGACAACATAAACAAATAAGGATATTCCGAAAATAGAAAACCTATGGACCCCTTATCACAAGCAACGGATATTTAGCACAAACTATTTTAAAAAGTTTACTCTTCGAATAATTTGCGCATATTGAAAGTAAGAATTAAAT